GTAGAAAAAATTGTAATGAAAACTGCCCTCAACACCATCACTTTGTATTATTCAATCCTCAGAGTGCTGGAAATTACGGTACTGAGAATTTGTTTTTCAACTTTTGTGAACGAAAGGAATGTCCCGAGACTGACCCCCTAAATTACAGGAGACCTTACATCCCCCTCACTACTGCCTTTGTCAAATAGCCAGGCTAATCATGTAACTATTTATTGGATTAATAAATTATTAACATCCCTGAGGCCTATCATGTAAAATCACATGTATTTGGAAATAAATAGCAGTCTTTACAATATATAACATGCCATCATTAAAATTTGGGGAAGAAATACAACAAATGAAGTGGACAAATAATTTTAATAACTTTGCCCAAAAAGCAATATTAAAAAAAGAAAATAGAAAACTAGGAATAAATTGAAGTACGTTTGATTCCCGGGCGCAAACTAAATAACGTTGAATTAACTGAACAAAGATTACCATAATAAGTTTACTCTCAATCGGAGATATCGTATCATACGATTTTCATTCTTACTAAACTGGTTATTACAAAAAATCGTAAACTTTAATTTTGCAATTTTCGAAAGCCAAGTAAAGAAAATATTCAAAATAGACTTGTGTATTCATGTAACTTTTGTCGACGGAATTCTTATCATATTATTCGCTTTCCCAAAAAAAAATTCGCAAATTTTGTAAACTTCTCGACTGTGCTTAATCGTGGACGGAGGGCGCTGGATTGACTAGAACTAACTCATGTAGCTACGGTAAAAGTTGGAAATATTTGGACAGACCTAGTTTAGAAGAGGAACGAGGAGATCAGATAACGGCTGTATTCACAGGTTACTAGAATAAACTTGTTGATGGTAGTGCGGAAACTTGGACTAAGGTGCTCAGGACGGAAGGTCAATCTTACACCCATTCAGGTATCATCGAGTGCTGTGCGTAAGAAGTTATCCATATTAAACAAACTGTAAGAGTGCATCATTCGATGCCAACTTCTTTACCACAGTTAAAATCACCATAGCACTTAGTTTGTTGTCTTTTTTAGTATAGTCTTCTTAAGTCATACCTAGATTGATCTCTTAAAGGAGTCTAATTCTAATCTGCTGACGAGCGTCCCCATCACATTCATAGGCGAGTCGTCCCACCCGAGCAGTGTGGGTCCATTGATAATTAACGAGAGTATTTTTAAGAACCAATTAAAGTTTGATGTATGCACCGAGAAGTTTCCGCAACATTAGCGGTCATTAAATTTGTCCTCTTATCCCTTGTGCGTCACTTTACTACTGTAAATCCTCCATAAAGCCCTCTCTCTCAAATAACCCCCCCCCCCCCCCCCCCCCCCCCACCCCCCCCCCACAAACAAAACAAACAACCATCCCCCCACCCCTTCCACCCCCCCTTTCCCCCCCCCCTTTTCTTTTTTCTCTCTTCTCTATTTACCTTTTTATTTATTCAACACTTTTTATTTCTCATACCTCAATATTTTTACCAAACA